GTGGTTTCTGTCTGTAATCTTACCACTCAAGCACAGGTGATATGCATGATTAGAACCATCTTAGGGAGTGGAGGCAAAACCTGTGCCATTCAGTGGAACATGTATCAAAATAAAATATGAAAAGCTCCTGCTGAAGCTCAGGCCAGTAGTATTAGGTAAACCCTGTTTTATCTGCCAGGCATTGTGGCAGGTGCCTATCTTCCTAGCACATGGAAGGCTGAGGTAGGAGAATTGCAGTGACTTCTAGACCAACATGGACTACATAGTGAGTTCAAGGTCAGACTGAATATGTAGTAAGACCCTGTCAAAAAAACAAAACAGACCTGTTTTAGGAGTCAACAGTAACAATCTGGGCTTAGTTTATTCCTTCAGTTTTGGGTTATGATTTATTCACAATATGATTACAAAATTGTAACTACTGTATTTCATTTTTGCTTCTACCTAATTTTTTCTTTCAATCATAAAGAGGAAAAAGTAAACATGCAAAATACTGGTCTTCACCAAAGCCACAAAGCTCATAGTGGTCATTTTTCTTGTGGTGGGAACATGTTGACATGTGTACTCCCCATGTCACACACATGATATCTGAATGTGCTTCATATGAGGATTGATTTTATGCAGCTTAAAGACATTAAAGTCTACAAATCCAAAAAGTGTCATGGGATGAACATACTAGACTGAGTGAGCAGTTTATGGTTGTAAATGTTCCCATCAGAAAAAGTGACTCCACATAAATAACCTAATCATGTAAGTCAAGATCCTGGAAAAACAAAGACACCCCAAACACAACCTCATATGTGGAAGGAAAGTGTAAAGATCAAAGCAGAAATCAATATATTGGAGACAAATAGAATATCATACCATCATTTGAATAGATATATAAAAAGCCTTTCACAAAATCCAATGTTCGCTCATGATAAAAACTTTCTTTTTGGTGAAAAGTACATAACCTAATGTCAATCTGCTAAAAATCACCTATGAAAAATATTACATGAAATATGAAATAACAAAGCTTTAGTTAAAACTGAAGACAAGAATGTTAACTATGAAAAATTTTAAATATACTCCCCAACACTTTAGTCTAAGCAGCTAGGAAAGAGAGAGGAAGAAAAGGGATGTGTGTATAAAAGGAAGATATACAGGTGAATGGGTGAAGAAAATACAGTTATTCACAGCGGAATACTTCTCTGTCCTAAAAAAGAATCAGTTTGATTCATTTATAGCAGTGCCAGTGCAACAAAGACCATACAAGGTGGGGAAAGTGATGGCATGGTGAAAGAAATCAACTCAAACAAATTCAGAATTCAAGCTCTAGGAAAAAAAGTGGAGAAGCATAAAGCAGTAGGAGACGGAATCTGGTGGAATGTGACAGGGAAGTTAAAGGCACCAAGAAATTGAGGAAAGAACACAAGAGAAGGGAAGAGGCCATCTGCACTTCCTCTGTGGTTTGCAGCAGCTTAGGACCATGGTCATTCACACCCCATTAAAGCAAAGTTAATGCTGGGGACGCCAGCTACCACATGGAGAAACATAGTTGACCAGATCTCATTGGACATTGCTGTGATCTTCAAGGGAAGAGTTCAACTCTGCTCCCAATGCGTCTTTCCAGAAGCAGTGGCTGCTGAGCAAGTGTAGTACAAGTGACCACCACAGTCTTGGAGATGCTAGTTGGTAAAACAAAATCCAGTTAAGTGTTGGTTGTTTGAACCCAGGTACTAGAATAAACAGGACTCTTGCAAGGGTTCCCTTTGTCGCTATCTCTCAGGAACTAGGTAAGAGATGATCATTGGAAACAGCTGCAGTCAGACAGCAGCATGGAGACACCAAGAGGCATCTGAGCTAAAGAACCCATACCACATTCTCACAGCCATATCCCAGGTGCAACCTGACTTACTCTGGATTTGAAAGTCATGGCAAAGGTGTGCATGCCCTAGAGTTTGGTGGTGCTAGTATCCAACAAAGATGTGGGTGCTGACTCCTTTATCAGCATGAGCAAGGACATGTATGGACTTGGACACACCCCAAACTCTGTAGATCCTGGAAGATACATACAATAAAAATTAAATCAATCTCTCTCTCTCTCTCTCTCTCTCTCTCTCTCTCTCTCTCTCTCCCCCCCCCCTCTCTCCTTTCTTACAAACAGTGTGGTTTATTCTTTCATTGTTCTTCACTAATTTACATGTTTTGGGAAACTTGACCTTCCATCTCCTGGTAGGAATCTCAGTTCCAAATCACCAGCCCCAAATTAGGGTAAACAAAAATTTATATGTGATTTGTAAGCAAAAAGTACAAAAGGTGATAGTGATCAAGTTTATAGCTGGTTACATAGATTAGATCATGTTGTTAGGCAGATTCACTTGGGGTAGGTTAACTAGAGTTGTTTATCATAAGGTGGTAACCTCAGAAAGGGAGTTGGAGCAAAGGGAGTGGGTGAAGCTAAGTCCTTGACAAGTCTATCTTAGGTAGACAGTCCTTAAAAGCAGAACATGTTACAAAGAGTACCGGCAGTGCAACTACATGCAGTTAGACTCGGCCAGGCTAAACTATCTCTGAGTTGCATCAGTTGTTTTCAGCAAAGACTGAGACTAATAGTCCACCTATGTGGTGGTTTGGGTGAACACATCTTTTAATACGATGGTTTTTCAGTTATCTGTCATATGTCAGGCCTTCATGGTTTCCATCATTTTCCTATACTCTATTTTTAAAAAAATCTATACAAGATTTTCTGAGCAATTCCTTCATTGTAGTTATCATTTTTTTCTTTCACCTGACCATTTATTTGTGACCTGATCCATTTTGTGGCCTCATGTATTTGTTTCTTTCCACTGATTGCTATTATTTCAGCAATTTCAGGTATGTGTCTTTAATTTTTCCTTATCTCAGTGTCTCCTGGACTTGTTCTTGCTGCATTGGGATTCTGATGTTGCATTTTGCTTCTGTTTCTTATCTTTTTCTATTAAAAATTTTTTTGGGATCTAGGGATTGAACTCGTGACTTCACACTTGCTATAAAATTTTTGTTTTTTTATGTGGATTCTTTTTTTTTTTTTTATCGGTACCAGGTATTGAACTCATGAGCACGCGCTTGCAAGGCAGGTGCTTATGCCACTGAGCTAAATCCCCAGCCCCTCTATGTGGATTCTTGTAAAATTTTTTAGTAGGTAGCTTTATCATTAGGATCAAGGCCTCCCTAGAAAATGTTTAATCTTTTGAGATGTCTTCTGTACGTAGGAGATTCTTGGTTAGTATCTGTATCAGTCCCCAACCTTTTGGTCCTGAGATGTAGTGCGGTTATTACCCTAGCGCTTCCCAGTATTGTTACAGAATGGGGAACAATTGAGTACAACAGATATGGCACCCTAGTTAAAGTAGTGCTATTAGCAATAACAATAGCATCAAGCACAATTTAGATACTGATAAGCTGTGGTAACAATTTTGTTACCTTTGATAATAGGAGCAAACCCCACAATTATATAAAAGAATCCATCATAAATCAAGAGCTTGTATGAAAAGTGTTTCTCCTTGGTAGAATGGTTTCACCCTGTTTGGGGGAAATTTAAAAAGGATAAATGATAAAACAGATTACTGAAGAGAAATACAGTAGAAACAAGGACAGAGGACAAAGGATAATCACAAAAGCTTTGGGAAGCTAGAAAAGAGGGCAAAAGAGAATGAATGAATAAGCCAGGAATTATTGAAGTTAGCCAGAAAGATTAGAGCAAATATTCACCCATATGAAAATATGGCTAAGTCAAAAAAGATAACTGAGGTTAGGGAAAAGAAGATGGATCAATTAGCATAAAAATATAAGTGAAAGACAAATCAACAAAGAAAGACGAAAACTAAAAACAAGTCCTCTGGTGCCCACCAAGAGCCCAAAACTACTGAGTGACACTGCCAAGTTTGCACTGGGTGTGGGATTGATCTTGCCTCCAGATGTGGCAGCCTGGGGCCAGTCTTCAGCCAGTACTTCCTATATATCGCTTAATGGTCTGCCCACTCCTTACTTACCCTGTTGCTCTCATCCTTCCTCTCCCAGTTGCTGTGCTGCCCTCAGACAGAGACAAGAGGTTGCTCTGGGTTTTGTGCAGTTAGCTCCTCCTGGTCCTTGCTGTTTTCTATGTTCATCTTCCATTAAAAAGCCTGTCTTCCCAGCTTGTTTTTTCAGGATGGGCTGGAATGCTGTGCTGCAGTCTGACCCTCTCCACTTGTAGGTGCCGTCAAAGACTGATCAGTCCCAATTCTTGTTCTTCACTGGGGGGGCGGAATACTAACCCGTCACTCATTGTTTTGAAAAGTTCAATGCCACCACCAAGCACGTCCATTATATTCTGTAACTTCTTGTTAGGTAAGGTGGGGTGGAGTGCTGCGGGATGCCTTTCTGCTCCTGCTTCCACAGTGAGGACAGCCTGGGGCTGCACAGTCCCATAGTTCAATTCCCCACACCTCTCTAACCACAGATCATGGGGGAGCAGTTAGTTGTTCCATGTACAATACACACATGGATTCTTTAACTTTGTCCCTAAGAATTCCAGTTAAAATTCTGGTGCACAAAAGGAAAGGGAAAAAAAGTTAAAGAAAAAAAAAAAAAAAGCTAGATGATCATCATGAAGGGTGCAAGTAAGTACCTCTGTGTGTGCTGCCTGGCAAATGCAAGGTCCTGAATTAGATTCCCAGGGCCAAACAAACAAACCTGAAGTAATAAACTAAGCATAGAATATTATCATTGCTCAATAAAACACAGGTCTTTTCTTTTTTTTTTCATTTTTAGACAGGGTCTAACTACATATTTCAGCCTGGTCTTGAACTCACTGTATAGTCCACAGTGGTTTAGAAGTCAGACTGATTCCCCTTACTCAAGATTCTTGTGCTAGTATTACAGACATGCCATTAGGTCTCACAGATAAAACACTGAGTTGACCCAAGAATATTAGTGCATTGAGATACACCTTCAACTTTTTGTATTTTGTTTTAATACACATTCCACTGAGATGCACAAGATTTTTAACAGATTAATTTATTATTACACTATAGATACAATGATCACATTTATCATAGGGAATTTGTTTCTTTCCTGGTTACTTGTCTCTCATTGCTGGGACAAAATGCCTGAGGCTCAAAATTAAGGAAGGAAAGGTTTATTTAACTCACAATTTTTAAGAGCTTTCAGTCAATAGTCATCTGGCTTCAAGGCAGAGCAGCATGGAAGAGGAGCAACTGTTCATGACACAGGAAGACAACAAAAGCAAAAAGGAAGCAGGGCTCTTTCCCTCCCGTATATTGTATGCAAGCTACCTGCCCAGGGTGGTGTAGCACTCATGCCCGTAATTCCAGCATTGGACAATGCATCAATTACAAATGCTAGAAGCCTGTCCCCTTGTCTCCATGATGCTTCGGGGGACATCTAGACCCAAACCATAACATTTCACCTCTGGCTCCCCCCAAAGACTCAGGCACATCTCAGCCTATCCACCCCACGACTGCATGAGGCTTTGGAGGACATCTAGACATAAACAATAACAGTACCTGGATACGATGTAACTTGACTCTTTTTTCCTCATTCCCCTACCCTCCTTTTAACCAGTAACAGTGATATTTTTTGATGCTAAAATAATAGTAAATAAATATGCTCATGATACAATGATCTTGAATTTCAATTTTCCTTTGGCTGGAATAGCAGTATTCATTGTGCAATTTCCTGATGGTAAGAATTAGAACTAAACTGTCATGAAATTAGCTATATGTTTAAGTATGTAAGTCAATATTGGACCCAGGATTTAGCTCAGCAGCATTGTAATAGAACCCCATGGTAAAGGGAGCAGCTAATGATGAAACAGTGCAGAATATTTTACAAAGGCCCATAGGACTAGGAAATAAAGGCAAATAAGTCAAGGATGACAGATAGTCTCATAGTGATAGCTTCCACAAGTCTTATGCAATAGAAGGGATATCATTTCTTCCACTATCAGACACTGATACTTATTGATGACAAAAACCACTATATACTTACCTCTAAATTTGATAAGAGAACAAAAATGAAACACAAGGATTTTACCTGATTTGAGCTTTCCAGTTTAAACAGATGTTGATTTCCAAAGCACCCATGGTATTTGCAAAATCAAAATAGTAGACTCTACTTCATTACAAAAGTAGAAGCCATCTAATCAAAATGAACTTCAAAACTCTCAAAACTTCCTCCTCTGAGAATGTTCTTGCTGACAAATTGTATCAACATTTATAGCTTGTAGAGAGGTTAAATATTGTACTACATTGTATCTTTGAGAAATTATGTGGTTCTGGTGTTCTCTGGCAGTGGAAAACTCACAAAAATACACTAGTTTTTGGTATTGTGGATTGAAAAATTACCACCAATATAATGGCACTATGAGCACAAAAACGGAAATTTAATGATAAAAATAACTAATATTGTACACACATGAAAATAATGGTTTTTATGCAGAGAAAAAATAGGTAAAATTATGCATTGCTTATAATCTGTAAATATGTTGTAATATATAGAGATCTTAGAATATTCAAAATAAATTTGCTAATTCATTGTTTGAAAACAGATGAATCTTTAAATACTTATACACAAATTGCTAGTAATAAAATTATAAAATATGACCCAATTTAAAAATTCTTGGTAGAATAATGTACTGTATACAGCAAACTTTTAAATAGAAGCAACTGGAAAAATAACAACAATTAAGGAAAATTTGCTTTTGGACTCATGTTTCATGAGAATTTGTAAATTTAAAACAGAACAAAGGAAACAAAAATGACACAAAATACTGAGCCTAGCAGCGTGTAAGAAATACAAGTCACTTCACCTGTGAATCTAACAGTGCAAAATAAAGAAAACAATTATTAAATTTAAAACAAGAGTCCTGTGTGGTTGCTTACAATTATGTACAGGATTATGTGAATACAACATTTATTCTTAAAAGTAAACAAAGTTATTTAATGCAGGAATCTGCTTTAAGACTAAGTTTAAAATACTTATACTTTAAGATATCTTCTCTGGTGGTATATTTCCCGGAGAAATCATTACATCTGATTTTTATAAAACTTATTTTTTAATTTAAACATGAAAAATGATAAAATGATTAGGAAATGTACTATGTATGTTCACAGGGATTTAGTACAATATTGCTTCTCACATGAAGGATAAGATAAATTTGTGTACATCCCTTATATTAATAGTTTATCACAATACTGTATTTATTTGCTATATGAATTAACCAAAATGACTACAAGTGTTTCCATTTAATACACATGCATATAAATTTCTCTTTTTCAAGGCCATGTTTCATGAAAAGTAATGTAAAAATTAAGATCTCTCACATTCTGTGTTTATACTGACACATGAATTTTTATATTTTCTGATGTTACGAAAATCATACAATACTTTCTCATTTACACAGCTTTTCTCTTTAGTGAAAATATACAAATTCCCATCCCATGTGAATTCTTTTATGTATTTGAGAAAAAATACTTTCCCACGTCTGTCACATATGTTCAAACCATCTGAATTATGACTTCTTTTATTTAGGCAATGATACCTGTATACAGAGGATTTTTTACTGTTTACATGGAAATGTTCTCCCCAATCTAATTCATGGCAGTGCGTGTCAATTCATCTACTTAGTTTTCTGTTTTCAATGTGCATGATGCTTAGTGCAGCAAAGTAGGCTTTTGCCTATTGTTTATACAACCCTTCAAGTATAATTCCTTTCATGTATTTGACAATACCTCGGTGCACAGAATACATTGACATATTGTTTACATAAGTAGAAGTTCTACAGTGTGTGTTCCTTCATGTCGATGACAATGAGCATGGTTGCTGGAAGATTTCCCACACTGTTGACATACATAGGGTTTCTCACTAGTGAGACTTCTTTCATGTAATTGACAAGTAAATTGTCTGTTGAAAGCTTTCTCACATTCCTTACATATACTTTCTCCCCAGTGTGACTTCTTTCATGTAGTTGACAACTATATTGTCTTGTGAAAGCTTTGCCACATTGTTTACACACATATGGTTTCTCCCCAGTGTGAGTCCTTTCGTGTACTTGACAATAACTTTTTGTACTAAAAGCTTTCCCACAATGTGTACATACATAGGGTTTTTCCCCTGTGTGAGTCCTTTCATGTTCTTGATAATCTCTGTGTGTGCTAAAACCTTTTCCACATTGCTTACATATATAAGGCTTCTTCCCAGTGTGACTCCTTTCATGTACTCGCCAACTACTTTTAATGTTGAAAGCTTTCCCACATTGCTTACATACATATGGTTTCTCCCCTGTGTGAGTTTTTTCATGTTCTTGACAAGTATATTGTCTGCTGAAAGCTTTCCCACATTGTCTACAAACATAAGGTTTCTGCCCAGTGTGAGTCCATACATGTCTTTTACACTCTACATGTGTGCTGAAAGCTTTTTCACATTGCTTACATACATAGGGTTTCTCCCCAGTGTGTCTCCTTTCATGTATTTGACAACCACCACGTGTACTAAAAGCTTTCCCACATTGCTTACATAAGTATGGTTTCTCCCCAGTGTGACTTCTTTCATGTACTAGACAATTATTGTGGGTACGAAAACCTTTTCCACATTGCTTACATACATAGGCTTTCTCCCTAGTATGACTTTTTTCATGTATTCGACAACTAGTATTTGTCCTGAAAGCTTTCGCACATTGCTTACATGCATAGGGTTTCTCCCCAGTGTGACTTCTTTCATGTATTCGACAGGTACTGTGTGTTCTGAAAGCTTTCCCACATTGTTTACAAACATAGTGCTTCTCCCTAATGTGACATCTTTCATGTCTTTGACAAACACTATGTGTGCTGAAAGCTTTTCCACATTGCTTACATACAGAGGATTTATTTCCAATGTGAGTTCTTTCATGACTATCAAATAAATTGTTAGTGCTAGATGTTTCATAGTGTTTACTTGTATATGATTTTTCTCCAGTTTGAGTGTTTTCATGTGTCTGAATATCACAGTGAGAATGTAAATCTTTTACACATGGTACACATGTGTAAGCATTCACCTCGCTATGACTTCTTTCCACAATTTGAACATCACTGGGTGTAATGAAGAATTTCACATCTTGCTCATACAGAAGTGCCTTCTCTTCAAAGGTACTGTCTTCAGTGTAATCAGAGTAGGGTTTTCCACACGGCATATATTTATGGGGTTTCTCTCCAAAACTAGTCTCTGCATGTTGTTGAACGAACTGGAGATTTGTGCAGGCTTTCCCACGTTTGTTACAGGTAGACAGTTTCTCTTGAAATCCCTGCTGCTCATGTGGTTTGAGTGCAGTGGTAGCCATGATGGGCTCATCTGTTGATGGATGATTAACCAGGGGTCTTCCAGAGGAAATGCTTTCACCTGGTTTTTTACCAACAACTGTCATGTGCACATTTGTACCTGGTGTCAAACCAATCATTTCTCCATGCTGATACCACAAGTTGTATGCAGGGAATTTCTCTATCTCTTCACTCCTGTAAAAGGCAAAAGTAACAGAATGATGAATCACATTTTAAAATGTCTTTTTGGTAATGATTTATCATGAGTTCTGCTTTGATGTTCTCTAATAATATTTAAACATCCACTTACTGTACCTGCTGGGTGATGGCTTGGAAACAATTTTTACCCAAGCAGGATTCATTTGGGAGTTTATAATAAACACATCTGCAATACACACAATACTTACTTTCATTTTGAGGATTTGGAATACATCTTGAAGAAACATGTTCCATATATTGATGTGTTTTGATACCTTTTCCTCATGGCTCATTCCCTCCCCTTCAACGAAGCCTCTTTACCGACTCCAAAATGTCTACCTTTCTCTTTTTTACCATCCCTTATGCATTTACTCCTTAATTCATGTTTGGGGATTCTTAAGAAAAATACAGTGGAGGGCACTGAAATTTCTCTGACTTATTTAATCTAACTTCACACATGCTAGATCCATCTATATTTCAGCAAATGATATCACTTTGTTTCTTTGTGGATGATTCATCCTATTCCATTATGTGTACACACTACCTGTTTCAGTCCTGGAAATTGATCCAGAGTTTAGCATTGACATACGTCAGTGGGATTTTCAATTTTCATTTTGAAACAGTCTCATGAACCATTAAGTTGCCCAGGCTGAGCACTAGTACTAGCACTAGAACTTCCTACCTCAGCTTCCTATAGTTCTAGGATTCAAGCATGGCTTTTTAAGCCCAAGCCATTCAATAATTCCTTAGTGAACTCAATGATGAAGATTTAGACTTTTTCTAGAGCTTAGCTTTTCTAAGTTAAACTACTACAACAAACGAGTACTTATGCATCCTGCAATATGCTTGCAAAATAGAAATTCTGTTTCCTTTTTTGTGGAATCTCTATGCACATTGCATAGGAGATAGTCCACATTGACAGTCCTAGCAAAAACATGGGGTGTGCCTCCTAATATTTTGGAATATGAATTTGAAGGTCCACTTGAAAAATAACTATGACTGAAACAGTGGCATTCACTCAGATATTAAACACATCCACAACAGTAGTAATTTTGAAATACTGGATGTATGTATGACATTGAGCTACATATAGTATCACTGATATAATTTGTTTGATAACAAAGTGGTCTTTTTTTAAAAAACACATGTAGAAGCAGCCAGTCACACCCTCACATGCCTGTCAGCCATCATCGGGAAAACCTCCCCACCAGTAACCAGTTTAAGCAGCCAGTCACACCCCATGTACCCCCCCATATCCCCCGTCTACCATCAGGGACCTTTCCCACCAATAGCCAGTGCAGGCCAGGAGAATAAACCAGTCATGACCCCAGAGCTCCACTCCCTACCCAGGATCCTAGGTATGCAGAATCGCATATACCCCAGATGGGCAGCCAATGTGGGAAGCACCTAGAACCCCACAACTGGCTCATCTGGAGCAACCCAGCAAAGTGTCGAGATGAAGGAGCAACCTGCAATCTCAGACGTCCAACCCACACAGAAAGAGCCCAGGAAACATAGACATACAAGGAATTGAAAATCACACACCTGAAATTTCTGAAATCATAGCAACTAAAGTCAAGAATCAACTTTATGAGGCTGTAAAAGAAATCAGATCAGGAATATCTCAGGTAAAAGAAATGACAACCATAATGAAAGAATTGCTAACTATATCTAAATAAGACATAGATTTAAAAAAAAAAGCATAAGAAAATGATGGAAACCTTGAATGAAATAGGAAAAAATTAGAATATATGAAATACATTCAAAGAGCTATCTAGGGAATTAAAAACTCCACTGAAAGCTGGCAAAATCACTTGAAAGAAACAAGATAGGTATTTCAGACCTTGAAGACAAGATTGCAGCTAGTAAAAAAAAAAAAAAAAAAAAAAAAAGATTGCAGCTAGTGATCCTAAAGGGAAAGATTTCTTAAAATTAACATGGAACCAGGAAATGACAAATGAAAGCTGTGAGATAAGGCAAAGAAAAATCATTTAATATTGATATATTTCAGAAAAAAAAAGTAGGAGTCAACACAAATGACATAAAAAGACTCTACAGAAAAATAGCAGATAACTTCTCAAGTGTGGGAAAAGGACCTGACATACAGATAAATGAGATAAATGAGGTATATAGAACTCTAAACACCAATAACCAAAATAAATCTACACCTAGACAAATAATAATCAAGATCCCAGAAATTCAGCATGAAAACAATATTGAAAGCTGTTACAGAAAAGAAACAGATCACCTATCATGAAAGTCCATTAGAATCACAGCAGAATTCTCAACACAATCGCTAAAATAAAGAAGAGCTTAGAGTAAAGTATTTCATGTTCTGAAGAAAACATTTTCCAACTCAGATTGTTGCATCTTGCAAAACTATCTTTCAAAAATAATGGAGACATAAGATACTTCCATGATCAAGAACTGAAGGAATTCATGAGCACCAAACCAACCCTATAAAGAGTACTAAAGAATATCTAGAGAGAGATAAAGATGACCCAGGTTCCATGAACAGCAGCAGAGGGGGACTGCTGAGCAGAGCAGGCAACTGAATAGAGGAGAGAAGTAGGGCGCCAACAGCAGGAAAATAACACAGCAGACACTTGCCAGTGCATGCTGGCTATAGCCGTTAATGCACATGGCTTCAATTTACCAATAAAAAGAAACAGGCAGAGTGGGTCAAGAAACAAGATCTACCAAAATGCTGTACACAAGAAACACATTTAACTCAAAAGGAAATTCTCAAACTGAGAGTTAAAGGAGAGAAAACAAAGCTCCATGTGACAGAGACCGTGAAAAAAACAGGGGTAGCTTGTCCATCAACCTCAGAATGGTAAGAAAGACACGGTGTTTTTACACAATGGCATGCTACTCAGCTACAAAGACGGATGATTCTGAGGCTCGTGTAGGTAGATAGATGCAACTTGAGATCATGCTCATGGGTGAAATGGATCAGACTCACCTGGGTGAACACTGTGTTGTCTCCTTAGTGTCAAAGACTAAAGGAGATTGTGGGATCCAAAATGTACAATAGACATGGGAAAGTGAAAGGGAGGAAATGACTAAAAAGGGAAGGAACACTGATATGGGGGAAAGGAGAAAAGAAAAGAAAAGCAAAGAATATATGTACATGTGTGTGTGTGTGTGTGTGTGTGTGTGTGTATACACAGATAGATAGATAGATAGATAGATAATTATAGTACAAACCTCTTTTAACAAAAAGAATGGTTTGTGCTTTCATTGTTTGATCATTTTATCATACATAGCTGGCAATATAAACAACTACTTGGAAAACAACAATATACAACATAGTAATCATTAATTCCCATTTATTCTGTTTTGAAATCTTTTTGAAATTATTTTTTTCATTTTAATAAACATGTAATATAATTAAAATGTAGGTCTCAGTGCATATACAAATTTTATTTTATATATTCCTGTCCTCAATGCCTAAATTGTTTCATTCAACATATCTATAATTCTGAGCATGGAATATAATTAATTTGTACTTTTTTTTTGAGGCAGGATATCTCTCTGAAGTTGAGACTAGCTTTGAACTCAGTATGTGCCATAGGCTGACCTGGAACTTGTGGCAATTTCCTGCCTCAGCTTCCCAAGAGGCAGATGCTATCACAACTAGATGTTTGCTATTTTACATTAGATCAATGATGTCACTTTTTGAATAATATCATTACCACATGCATCTCAGGTATTAGAATGATTCAAATATGTGATTTTTTTACATTAGCAATATTAAATGTGTATAAGTCCTTGGAGAAATATGAGACTAAAGAAATTTGAACATGGTCCTGTTTGTGTAGTTTGATTTGGTTTCATATTCTAATACTTGAGGAACATTTTTCTCATGATTACCTTAGAGTTTTCCTGCAATTTTTGTATTCATCTTCAATTTGCTGGTCATCTGAGTTCCTTCCTAAAGTGCAGAGACAGAAATATAATGATGTTTTACATTATATGAAAATAAGTAGATTCCAGTTAGACTCATGGTGAAATGTAAGCATGCCTGGAAGATCTCTTATAACTTCCATTTTCCCACTAAGGAAACTGCCAGTGAATACCAACCCATGCTCTATGATTGCATAAATGACAAAATGGTATCTTCCATACCTACGGCAGCCAGGTTCCTCAGGGTTTCCCACATCACATCTCTGTAGAGCTTCTTTTGGGATGAATCCAGCAAAGCCCACTCCTCTCTGGTGAAGTTCACACTCACATCCTCGAGGGTCACTGCCTCCTACAATATCACACATATATTTTCAGGAAGAAGAGTAAGATTCGTAACACTAAACATCTTAACTTATAAAATGCTCAAGTGAGGCTGAGTTTTGCAAACATTTACTTCCTGTCTTGTTCATCAAACAATTATTCTCCATATGTACATGTCACATAGGAAACGTGATGCTATGCTGAAATTCAGTGCTAAAACAATAGTGGAACAGGAATTCTGTTTCTTCTGCTGGTTAAACCCAAATTTACCAATACAAAGTCACTAAAGCATGGGTCACAGAAGGACCCACACATTAGAATCCAAGTGAAAAAAGTAAGGTAGGTAAATGCTGATGAATTACTCTGATGGGCCAAAAAATACCTTTTTTTCTCAACTTGTTATTTAGAGAACTGATCTCCTCTTTCTCAGTTCTATGTAGGTAGCCTTTTGAAACTTGAACCTGACAAAGCCTTCTATGTTTTTAGTTTCTATTAGAGAATGCCCAAGAACAATGACATTAGGTTAAGGAATCTATATTATCTTATGGCTCAATGACCCGAAAGGTAGCTTAATGGGGAGAAATAGGGAGATGGATATCATCAAAATGTATGTGAAATGCACTGATCACCAATACTTTGCAAACTTAACAGGCACAGAACATAATGATGATGTACTACATTATGTGAAATCAGTAGATTAAATTTAGACTCAGGGAAGGAAAAATTGAAGAAAAAATTTTCACTTCCCAAAACACCTTCAAATATAACAATCTAGAACCTGTTCTTTTGTAACACAGTATGCACACACTACAAGCTCCACAATGGCTCCCGGAGGACAGAGAATGGTACTTTGAATTTCTCCATCTGTGAGATCTGTATAATTACTTTCCTAGCCTGGGGACGTGACCACAGTACCTAATGTCTAGGCATTCTTCATACTCTGCACTCTTCATGTAATTCCCTCGGAAATTCTCCTCCCCTTCCTTTTCCATGGCCCCTCTGGCTCCCTCCAGGGCTGACTTCTCCGTGATAATGAATCCAGCTGATTTTGTTCTCTCCTGGAAACCTCCCACACCCCCAGCTTGGCAGCACTGCACATTTCTCCACCCCCTGCGGAGCTTCCCATCCCAGCACCTCCACCACTTCTTCCCCTGCTCTAGGGCCCCCTGCTCATCTGACAGCTACCCCACCTCTCTACCTAGCATTTCTTTGTGAATGTGAACCTCCTCGTTACATTCTCTCTCCCTCATTCCATCTCATACCTGGTCCAAGCAGTGTGTGGCATCTCCCCCATTCCCTGCTCCCCAGTTCTCACTTAGAGAAGTGCAGGAATAGAGGAAATGGTCCGAGTTCATGCTCCCTTTTCCTTGTGAAATCTCTCTCAGATCAATCAGCATCTTTCTTCCTTTTTCACAGATGCTACCAAATATATTCAATATATATTATATTCTAATACCTCATGCAGTCTTATGACCAGAACTGGGATGACTCTTATCCTTTTCTCAACCCTCTCATCTGATCAATGGGAATGTGTTTGTTCTTCAGCTCAGGCTTCTGTAGATGATCACAGCTGCCTTGTGTCTAACCTTCAGGAGGGCACTGTGGTCATTCTGAGCCAAACTAAACTGGGACTTCCACTGGCTACATCAGAATGCTCAAGCCACTGCTTGAGGGAATTGTAAATATAAGGTTGCCTCTTGGTCCAAGGACTCCAGAAGACCGCACACATGGCAGTCAACTGTGACAGGCTTAAGGAAACAAGTCCAACAAAAGATGAAAATTTGGCTCAATTTATGGCTCATGTGGCTGCTACTCCAGATGTTATACGGCCTTAGACCCAGAAGGTAAACTGGTCTTAAAGAAGAATTTCCTTCCTCAGTCAGCTCCAGATATTTGAAAAAATTCTACCAAAACTGGAAGGCAGCCCTCAAACCCCACAACACAAGTTAGTAAAGCTGGCCTTTAACATCTTTAATAGTAGTTCCAGTTACCTGGAAACTGCATTTCTGACTGTCAGCTGTTTGCTTCCACCCTAAGAAACCTACAGGCTGGGTTAGAGATTCAGCCAACAGCCAAGGGTCCCTAAAGTCTCTCCAGTCCAGAGGCATGCAGGTATACAAGCCTTGTGCTGCTCTGACTTCATCAAGCCTTCTCAGGTGGTCTGTGGTGGTCTCGTGCCCATGCAGATTCTTACGCTGACATCTGCCCAATTTCCCCATGTAACTGAGCCAGACTCAGGTCTTCCATCTCCACTTTGGGCAGATGGCACGGTGACCAGGGGCAGGACTGACGGATCATTGTCAGGCCAGAAGCTGAGCACCGGGGCGTGGGCAGCACAAATTCAACTCTGGCAGAAAGAGTGAAAGGGAGACTGGGGTGCCCAGTCACCTACATGCCCACCAGCTCACACATCCACTGCACCTGCTGGGCAGAAACTCTGAACACAACGCTATTCCCCCACCATGTGAGGACAAGGAGACCGGGGATGCAAAATCACCTAACATTGTGGGACACAAATGAAAGGAGTGCACAACATTAAATATTGTACCTAAACATCAAAAGATCAATTCACACACTTCTATTTCCATTTTAGTTGAAATAACATAGACAGCAATGTTCTCGTCTAAGCAACAAAAAAGTTAACATTTAAAATCCACAACCCTTCTAGAAAAAGCCCATCTATTGCACTTTCAAAGTGCAAAAATGAGAATGCAGCCTAACAGAAGGATAAATTCTTCTGACAGGAAACTATGAGCAGAAGGATGGTAGATAAAATACAAGCGTCCTGATGAACAAGAATGAAGGAATTCTGAGACTTAAACATCTCCTGGGACCAGTTTTTTTGGGGGGTGAACTGAGAATTAAACTCAGAGCCTTGCACTTGATAAGCAGGTGCCATAATGCTGAGCTACACCCTCAGCCCCTGTGAACAGTTTATAAGACCTAAAAATGACTCACTTTTACCCCATGAAACACTGCCAGGTTTTCACAGTGAGTATCAGAAAAAAATTGTTTTATGTTTCTAACAATAGGGTGGGGTTTTGAAAATTCTGATGTTTTGTTTTTGTTTTTTGGTCTTTTTCCTTTTTATTGGTACCAGGGATCGAACTCACGACTGCTTGCTTGCAAGGCAGGCATTTATGCTGCTGAGCTAAATCCCCAGCCCCAAATTCTGGTATTTTAATAAATTCAGACTGAATAAGCAAAAACTTTTATAGACAAGGAGATTATACAGAAACCATTGTTCATTTTCTGTTAGTTGATTGTCATTCTCTTAAATGGTTTTACATTGTTTTGATATATTTGATGCTACAGTATACGAAGCTATACTCAAAGATTTCAAGGGAAGAGACAATATGGTAACTACTTTTATGTCGAGATTATCTTGTGGTGAAACACTATTTTGCTTAAATGGTTATGTTTTGATCTGTGCTGTTTTGCTGTTATACCCTCTTTTATCTCAATCTCCACTTCATTATTTACTTTTTTATTTTTATCCTTTTAATTAAGGCAAAAATAAATAAAAAATAGCAGGATATATTATAGTAACCCACTTTGACTTTCCACTGTCTTCATTTAAAGCCCTGTATTGCTCTCACCATCTTGTTCTGACTGATGTCCCCCTATTCTGCTTTGCTTGATAGTACCAGGTTCGAAAGTTTAGGCAACAGCTGTGAAGATAGTGGGATTCATTATGACGCCAATTCTGGTTGACTATTATCTACTTTTGAAGGCCTATAATGTCTCCAATGTTTTGGTTTTGTTCTTTTTTTGTTTTGTTCAATTTTATTATAACTGATGATATAGGCAATTCTATTAGAGATAGCGGGAGGCATTATGGTAACCATTGTTGATCACCTTGTATTATGCTTTTACATTATCTATTATGTCCACCCTTTTATTTGACTGACTCTGTTCTGTTATGTCACATTTCGTTCTACTCTCTTCCAAAAAAGTAATAAGAACTGTGGGAGCAACAAAACCCAAAATGTGTAATTGTCATTGTACAAAAGAGAGGAAAAGAAAGTGCTCTAAACGATATAACTGCATGTATATTTAAGTGTATAAGACAGATAATGATATTACTGAGTTTTGTTGGATCATTGAACAGAACTGTTTGCAGTCTCACTGTTGGAATGTCCACTTTATAAGCTTTAATTTTGTAACTTGAACAATTATTTCTAAGATGACAATATGTAATCCATTAACTAGTGATTTCCTACTGTTTATTTTTTTCTGTAAATCTGTGTAACTTGTACCTTTTCTCTTTTTTTCTTTTTCTCCTTAAATAAAATTAAAAAAAAAAATAAATTCAGACTGAATAAAACCCCCAGAGAACTACAAAGCCTGATTACCTGGGACATTTCTACACACAAAGGCTTTGCTGGATGTGAAGCTCCCAACTCCAGCCACTCCAATCTTCCTCCCTAAACAATGACCACGCAGAATGTGATTTTGACATTTTCCTCATGAGAGCAATCAGATATTCATCCTTGAACAATAAACAGCAGCAGTAAAACTGCAGAGGAAGAGAAAGATACGGCTCAGAAAGGAATAAAATAAACTAGGAAAAATGGATCTGAAAATAAGCAGTGAATAATTATACAAAGGTAATTAGGCAAATATCTTAATTATAAAAAAGTAGCAGATGCTCTCAGAGACAGATAACCTAAAGGCAACAAATGATATTTGTAGAAATACCAGTAAAGAGATAGACATTTAAAAAGATAACACAGAAGTTATCCAAGTTCAGACAAGAATAAATGAACTGAACCTATTGCCACAGATTCTATTATATAACTAAGAAATTATGTTCAAACTGGTAACATCGACAATCTACTTGATGCTTAGTACTATGGATTTGGAATATGACAGAAATGAATTGTGAGTACAATAGAAAAGACTGTGACTATCCCAACGTATTGGAAACATTTTTACTGTGCCAGTTATCCGGGACACCTGCAGTGACTCCCAGTGTGCTGCACAGAGTTACAGCATATGATGAGAAAGAAAAAGAGCAAGAGAGAAAAACTGCAAGGAAATAGGGATCTGGACGATCAGTGTTCTCTGGGAACACAGACCAAGAATCTCCAGTCAGCCACCATTCTATTAGCGAGTGCAACAGGACGAGTACAGTGCTTTTCCTAGAACAACACAAAGTAGTGTTAAAAGGGCAAGTTTAACACCGTAAGTTAAACTAAGACTCATCCCCAAATCTGGGTACTAGTTTTCCCTGAATCGTCCTCAGCACTTTTTACTGCTCTCTGACCTTCATATTCTCATTGACCATCAAGATCTCAGTGGTAACCGAAAGGATGCAGGATTTCCACATTCCAAAAGTGGTCCACAAGGCAGGGTAAAGAGGGGCTCAGACAGATAACATGTCAACTTAGAATTCAGGGTCCCCATCACCAAGGTACCTGTCTCTAGATCATAGGCCATTTCAAAGAGGAGTTTAGATTAGTGATAAATACTGGAAAAGTAGAAAATACTAGGACAAAATCCTACTGGACATCTTAGGAGACAAGAGAACCATTTAAAATGCAATGAAAATAAAATGAGAGAAAAGCTCCAGAAAAATTGTACATTATTTGAAACAGAACACGAAAAACAATAGAAACTGAAATGAAAAAAGCTCTATAAAAATTGAAATGTAATAACTGGCTAATTTAACCATCCAAAATGTATATTTTTTCAAAATATCAAGCTTTAAATTATAAACATATTAAATTTCCACTTATAAATGAAAATAAATATTTTTCAAATGTAACAAATACAAGACACATAAAGGAAAAATACAGAATGGAGTTTTCATAAAGATAAACCAGTCTAGCATTGATTCAATATTTACTGAATGTATAATAGTTTGACAGTATTCAATATGTATCTAAATGAAAATAAGAATTACCATACTCAGATGATCATATAAAATGCAGTTCTTGAAGAAGAGTTAACACTGCTTAAGAAATATTTTACTTACAAAGCATCAAATAACATGAAAGAATATTGAAATTGAAGGGAAATTCAAAGGGTTGTGTTTCTGATGACCATACTTATATCTATAATTAATAGAACAACAAGGCAAAAACCAAGATACACTTAAGCCAATATTGATAATAAAGTCAATGAATATTGGTTAACTGTTCATCTGTTTCCTCTAACCAATGCAGAGGAAACAGTCTTCTCGGAATTTCAAGAAACATTCACCAACACAAATCAACACAGCAATAACAAAGACCTTACCATGGGCAAAGACATGGAAATAATGGATGCAGGCCAGGGAGAGGCCTGTTTCTCTGCAGATATAAAGGTAACCCACACGCAGAGGTTAAACACACTCCTGAGCTTGCACATCAGCCTCATTCAGACCATGCGGCTCAATGGTTCTCACTCCTTTGGGGGTGTGGTGTGTGAATAAGACATGGGAAGCCTGGAAATTTAAATCTGGGATTCCACACAGCCTACTTCAACATTCTCCTATGGTAAAACTGCTTAAATTACAAAGGCCTAATTCTGAGCAGAGAGCAACACTCACCCACAGTCATTTAAAGACTGACTTACTCATTTTCCCAATTTCCCTTCTGAACTCAAGTGTGTTGTTTGCTAATCACCAAATAAGTCTCCAAAAAGAACTATCTGTAATGGGCCTGAAATTCTATACTCATGTTACCCAGAGCTACCACAAGTCTGACCAACTGAGATGCCAGACGTGGTTCACAGCTCAAAAAGCAGATCATGTGATGTGTTTTGTCACAAGTCAATATTAAGAAGGGCCATGGAATGGCACATGGACTTTTCCTATTAACGTAAATGAAGATAACTGTCTCAACATGGACTGTAATAAAAAGACAGACATTTCTAGAGTTTGAAAATGACAGTTGTAACATTCCATCCCAGAAAAGGGGAGAATATAATTTCCAAAAAATTGTACTAACCAAAAGTAATCTAAAATTCACAAATATCTACAGCCAGAAAAATTCAAGGATTTTTTTCAGAGTGAGTTATCACACATTCTCATTTGGCAAATAATTACAATATCATGCATATTTAAAAAAAACTAAATAGTTAATGATGTTTAATTTAACCAAGGGTTGTGAACTTGGCAAGTAGAAGTGATTTTTAAAACCACCACCAGAGCAGAGTTTGAGAATCCACTCCTGTAATGAAACCATTCTCATGGAATCAGGAAAGATCATAAGGTAAACCCTCACTGTATACCACACAGTGAGACTCACTCTTAAAACTTACTGCTACTACTACTACTAATTTTAAAAATGGATATTAGTGGAGAGCAAATGTCCAAGACAAAAAGTATCCATTCAATGACAGACAATGTTTTCCCTTAATCCCTTTAACACATAACAAGGCCAGACACAATTTTCTAAGTTCCAGTTTTAGCTCATGTGTGTTTATATAACTCTGTAACAAAAGATTAACCTAACATTTCTAAAACTTATCTCTTCTATTTGGGTCTCTGATATTTTACTTGTATTTAATGTGAATCAGCATAAGACTGCTTGTTCACTGTCACCACTAAACTCTTTTAACCTCAAGGGTGTATCTTTCCTAGTTTAGGAGCTGACTTTGCCACACTCCATCAGCCTCTCCTTTCATACATTCCATCCTCCTCCTTTACTCTTCCCTGAACCAAAAATCCTTTTATGCCTGACAACTAATATGCAGGCAAAGTAGACAACAGGTTCTTACACCCTGCGGCAGCACACTTCCATGAAAAGAGCTATCTCAATACAAACTCCATTATTTAAAACATTTCCAAACCACCCAAAACTGTACTGATCATGTGAGAGTAGTACCCACGTCTCCTTCCACTCATACCCAAAGGATATTTACATGAGGAAGGTCCACTTCAAATAAAGTATCAGTTACTGGTTAATATGCAATCCTTTTGGAAAGCTGTTATTTGAAAACTTCCATTTTCTTATTCAAAAATCAGTAATTCCTCCTCCAAATTTCTAGCCATTTTAAACACTAATGGAAACTTATTCTTATTTTTACTGTTTTCAATGTTGTGGATTTAACAGTGAAATTTAGCAACCTTCATGTTTGCTAAACCACTGAGATCCAATGAAATGTTAATCTTTTTTTTAGTTTTATTGGCATATTATCAAAACCAACCAATGACATTTACAATGTAAAAAAGTAGTTAGAAATATAGAAATTTACTGTCATCACAATGAAATCAGAGTTGAGAATATAACTTGTGGGTTTGAGATCCTGTATTTCTAACATGGATTAAGTTTCACAACAGTGGATAATTCACCCAATTTCACATTACTGGGACAAAGTATGCCATATGCACACCATAAAAAGATTTCACGACTCACGGTTTCATTCCATGATGAGCTGGGAATATGGCAAAAAGCATGGTGGAGGATAGGTTCCAGGAGGGAGAAGATGGAGGACAGGACTTTTCCAAGTCACACTCAAGTGGCCCACTTCTATAGTTTCCAGATCCTCACAGCACATCCACTTACCGAGCAATGTATGTGGGGGCTGCTGAGCACGTGGCCCCCACAATCCAAACAACACACACACACACACACACACACACAAGGCATCTGGGGGACATCTGAATATAAACAATGATACCAAGTCTACTGTTGGTGGAAAAACACACAGGACACCCAAAATGTCATAGTGCCACATGCTAAGAGTCAGAAGTCTCTCTGCAAACTGCCAGTATTCACACATTTTGCAGAGAAGCATGGCTACAGGCGCTAAGCTACTTAAACCACCCTCTCCACGCTGAAGTCACCTCACTGGGATAGGAAAAGATACTGAGGTCCTGGTTCGGCACATCCTCACTCTGAGATCTAGGAATGACCAAGGGTGTAGTTTCAGCAGTTGCCATGAAGGAACAAAGACACTACAACAAATAAAGAGAGACCCAAGTCCTGCCAGGACTAGTTCACTTCAGACATCAAAATCCACTGCTACAAAACACCTAGAATCAATCCAAGGCCAGAATCCATGGAATAAATAAAGTCAGGGGCTGAAATACAAACCTCCCTACAATCCTCTGTGTAATAGCTTGGGGAGAATGAAATGACAAATAATATTTCCAGCATATTCATACTATAATAACTTCAATTATTACTTCATTCAAAATTCCAGTTTTAGTCAAGTCACACTACTTAGTGTTGTGATAGTAAAGCCATAGTGAACATCAAAAATTCATTTTTTGAGGGCTGGGGATTTAGCTCAGCGGCATAAGTGCCTGCTTGGCAAGCACAAGGTCATGAGTTCAATCCCTGGTACCAAATAACAAACAAACAATAACCCCACCAAAAATTCATTTTTTGACCATCTTGAGTGTAGTTAGATGAAACCAAAGGAATAAACTAGAAGTAGGTACAACTGTATCTCTTTACCAGCATCATGGTTCTATGGAGAGATATGTATGTTCATAATAAATGTAAGAGAAATAGTTTATGTCTAATTTTTTGCTTCTGATGTAGTATACTGGTTTCCAAAATCATCAAATCCTCATAGATAAGT